CGCACACACGCACACACGCACACACACACACACACACACACACACACACACACACACACACACACACACACACACACACACACACACACACACACACACACACACACACATACGCACAGTAAAAATGAATAAATAAATTGATAAATAAAAATAAAGAAAATTCAAATCCAGTCGTACATACAATATACGACCATGTAGTGTATACGTATAATAAACCAAGACATTGTATACTTCGGTCTCTATTCGTTATATATACTCCTATATTTCCAAACCTATCCATATACAAGGCTAAAGAATGTGTTGTTTAGTTTACATTTGAAACTAAATGCTATAGTTCAGACTTCCTTACTTTCTCATAGTTGAATAAATTTTCCCTGTCCTTATATCTATCCTGGCAGAGAAAATGACAGAAAATGAAGTCAAAAGAAAATCCTTTGCGACTGCGGTGAATACCGTTAGCACCCTCAGGCAAGGGAGGAAGAACGCTGGGGGGTGGGGTTGAATGAAGCCGTTGGGGGTTGGGGGTTGGTGGGCGGGGGGGGGGTGATCAAGGAAGTATATTGAAGCTAGGGCAACGGCATGCTATGGATTTTTTTTGGCATTTATAAAAACATGTTACATTAGTTCCATACTGCAAGAAAAAAGTTGAAGTAGAAATGGAGGAGGAGGAGAAGAGGTAGAAGGAGAGGAATGGGAATAGGAAGAGATCGAGAAAGAAAATGAAAGAACAAGAGAAGGGGAAAGAGGAATATGAAGAGAAAGAGGAAGAGGAAGAAAAAGAAAAGACTAAATAAAGATAAAATAAAAGGTAGTGAAATATATAGATCACAAAATCTAGACCTCAGTGAAGACAGAGAGCTTGAAAAAATACCCTGTGATACCCACGTGTAGAAACACCTGCAGCGACACCAGCAGCAACACCGCCACCAGGAAGATGGCATTCAGCTCCAGAGCACGTCCGGACACCTTCATGATGGCACTCTGGCACTGTCGTCTTCCTCTAAGCCCTTTGGAGTTGTTGTGTCATGTCCCCGTGTCACCACAGCTCGACTCTCGTGCTCTGTTCGTGCTTGGAATGCGCAACAACTTTCATCTTTCTACCATTATGCATTCGAGGAAAGTTCATCACAAGGTCCTCAGTCTATCTGTATAAGGTCATGCTTCAGGGAGGAGTACTGTGTCCACTATCTGAAAAAGGGAACGGGTGTGTTGAGATACGCGATGGTCTGCGGAGATAACACTACACTAGCAACAGTAAGTTTAGTCTATTCCTTTCTGCTTAGAAGTCTGTGTTTATCTTCGTCGGTGTAACAGCGCGACGTGACGATACGAACACACAATCAACAGTAATTGGCGCACAATGATTAGATCGTCATGCGAACCGGAGCAGCAGCGAGCGACGTCGTTCACCACCCTCGCTCACTACGCGACGCTCACCACCCGCCCGAGAGCCTGGCAGGCGAGGGAACTACACGACCGGGTTCTCTGACACGGTGATCTGTGGGGTGACGGCAAGCTCACGTCCCCACACGCCCTCCCCCCACCCCCACAGCTGCCCACAATCGTCACATCCTCGGTCTAATCCCTTCTCAGTGTCACGTCCCTTCATTGCCTTTGTTCGCTTAGGTCTCAGGCTCTTGTTTCTCGCCTCGTGTCTTGTCTCCGCGCTTCTGTTCCTCCCTTTTTGCGTTGCTGCGTTCGTCGCAGGGTTTTCCTTCTTTCTTTTCCTTCACATCAGTTTCCCAATATAATCTGCTCTCTCGCTTTTCTTCCTCTTGACATTTGACACTAGCGCTCCTTTACATTTTACGCAGAAAAAGAATTTGATATAACTTCAAAACCGTGACATGCTTCTAAACGACTGAACTGACAATGAGTGGCACTGCATGCAAAGTAGTAATATGCGCTTCGCTCGGCTATTTATTGATTTTCTTTACTTGCAGTCTGCACACTCCGCCTTAACACACAACAGGTAAGCTGCCGACCCGACCATATCCATACGCCGGTCGAACTGGAATAACGAGGGAATATTATCTTACGATGTGTAAACTATCCATACCCAACTTTCCAGTCCAATCACAACGGGGGTAACACTCGCACAAAAAGGGCATTACACTTTTGCTAAGACTCAGGTCAACGTTCAAGCCGGCGTTTTAAACATTGGAAATTTGTTCGCGATACACGCAAATTCTCAATCTGCACACTTCGCTTCTCCTCTTCCACTGACAGAGTAGCTCGCGTGTTCCAGCACTTGAATAGTTGATGGCCTCGCGATATCAAAATTTCCCGAGCCACCTGAGGCAAAAATTCCTCCACAGGCTCCCTTACGGAATTCCGCCACAGCCTGTCTCTCCGCCTCCTGGGTGAACTTCCGAAGGAGAGAGAGGAACTCGGCGATTCCCGTTCTCTTCTCCTTACGTGTGTTTAGGAGGTTGTTATAACCCCTTTACTTCAGCGTCGCTTCGCCAAGGCCAACGTCCGCAGGTGAACTATAACTTTCGGCAAACACTGTGGGATACCTGGATGATGTGTTGCCAGTTCAGTATTTGTTCTCCGTGCATCACCTGGTTAGGGAAGGTGCGTTCAGCGTGGTCGGTTTGGTTTGTAACTTGTAACGTCGGGGATTGTTTGTGGTGATATAGATTTTGAAGGAAAGATTGTAACGATATTGAGAATACCGTGGATTAAAATAAACACTGAATTAAACATTTCACGGCAACTGCATCCAAGAATTGTTGCTATACGCATTCTCCTTTCCCTCGAACGCCTTATTAAATGCATAAATAATTTATTAAAATATTCTTATATCGTACACACATTGATAATATAACCATCCTCTCTATATAATAAATATTACTATAAATAATTTGCCTTTGATTTGCCTGGAGCTTATAGGCAATGGTACTAGTGAGTATCCCGTGACGTCACAGTGAGGAGGAGGGTGCCAGTTACGTTTATTTATTCAGCACACGTGGTCAGTTAAGCTAAGATGCTCTGAAGAAATCTCTCAGTTCCCTGTACCTCGTAACCTCAATGATAACAAAATAAAACCGAGAGCGGCCGCGGTGGCAGTTTGGTTAATACACACACACGCACTTGAGAGAACTCTGTAGGTTTCTTGTGCTCTCTCTCTCTCTCTCTCTCTCTCTCTCATATTCTCATTAGCATTCTCCCTCTTTCTCTCTCTTTCACACTCCCTTTTCCTCTCTTTCGCATTCTCTCCCTCTCCCTCTCTCTCCCATCCTCTCTCTCTTTCTATGTCTCTCTCATTCGCATTCTCCCTCTCTCTTTTACTCTCTCTCTCTCTCTCTCTCTCTCTCTCTCTCTCACTCGCTCTTTGTGCTTGATTGCCGTTAGTTTTAAGTTTCGAATAAAATAAGTGTTTTATTGCCAAGTATTTCCTCATTAGTCTTGGTTTACATTTTAGTTGATCATGTCACCTGCATTTTTACAACGATCTTCATATTTTGTGTCACTGAGATTTACGGATCACATAGTTTCATATTGGTTTCGTAGTGAGTATTTTACATTGTTTTATAGTGAGTAGTTCACATTGGTTTTATAATGAATAGTTCATATGTTTTTTTTTATAGTGAGTAGTTCAGATTGGTTTCATAGTGAGTAGTTCATATGGGTTTTATAGTGAATAGTTCACATTATTTTACAATGAGTTCCCCGCATTTTCTCCTGCACTAACCAAGGTACGCGAACCCACCCGATGCCTGTGATGTAACACCTCCGATACAAACTTAAACAACAGTCGCAAGTCAGCGTTAGGAAGTGCACAGTAAGGAAAATAGGGAATATAATTAGAATTCCTTATCATTGCGTACGTACAGATAAGAGATCAAAGTACACAAACATCCTGAGAACAGTGCTGGGAGTTGTATGATTTTATCGAAGAATTGTCGATGTTTTTGGGCACAGGTAGCGTTTTCTTTCTTAGTTTATTGGCAAAGTTGGAGCAGAAATAGAACGTCTTGCGAGAGCTTTAAGTAGAAAAGTAGCTTAGATTATTGTTCGTGGTCATAGGAATTGCATGATTCTTAGACTTTAATAGAAATGACAGCTGATGATATTTTACAAACATATGTTGTTTGACATATTCATTCTTATTTTCGAGATGCAGGAAACATGCATCTGTAGCCCTAGTGTCGAATTTTTGATGATGTCACTTCCTCTTTTCATAACTGTGTGTAGAATATCCCTAAGCAATGAGACACTTGCCTTCGTCTCCTTGAATTTGGTTTCTTGTGTATTTTTGTTGCAAAATGACGTAATATTCTGTTTACGTCTCGCTTCCTTCCTCGGTCTCGTTGCCGTCACGATTTTTTCTCCCACATTTCTTTAATGCCTTTTCTTCATGGGGGTCGAGTTTCTCGTATTAAATGGTATGCAGTATTTGTTAGGGTGTTTCGAAATAGATATAATAAACAACCTAAACCGTTGTTGTTAGCTGGATTGCCGAGATATGTATGGATAAACTTGGATATTGGTAACAACACAAGCGCAGTGCCGGATACCGTAGTCAGTGAATAATGGATTGTGGTTTTCAACCGGAAAGGGAAGTTATATAGTGTTTAGAAATTACTTTTTTTCAAATACATTTTCGAGTTATCCAATCTAGAGAAAAGAGGGAAAAGAAACAATAATAAGTAAAGCCTATCAACACACGTTTCTTGCACCGTCTTGTAACACTCACTCTCTGCAATCTCCTTTAACACTCTTCCCTCCCACACTACATTCCTTTACATTCCTTACGCGCATCTGTATCTCCACACTATGCACGAAATTACCATATGTATTCACACATACTTTATACACGAAGTTACCCTCTGTATTCAAACAATTTCCCCATCTCTTCCATACTCTCACGGGGACCATAAGGTTTTTTTTTTAAATATTGACTTTAACGTCTCTATTGTCCCGAACGATCCTAGGCAAATTTGCAGTTCTCTCACGTACGTCTCAGGGTCAGATAACAAGAGGCGCGGTGAATG